GAGGCCGCGCAGGCATGTACCGAGCAGCTCTGATACGAACGGGGGGGGAGAGGCTTACAAGGAGGGTGCAATTACGAGGACTATCAGGACTTCAGGGACTGCAGTAGCGAGGAGCCCGCGGAGATTGAGGCGAAAGAACTATGGCCAAAAGAAGAGCTACAGCCAGAAGGACAGCTGCAGCCTAAAGGACAGCGATGGCGACAAGAACTCATACAGCTGGAAGAGCAGCTACGCGGGAAGCCACAGCCTGCAGAAGAGGCCGCAACGCTTGTTGTGGTCGCGACAAGGAAGCAAGGGGCCGTGACCAGGCACGAGGCGGGGCCGGACTGCGAGCACGTTGAGATGGCCAATCCCCACACCACTACCCAAGCTCAAGAAACTACTACGACCCCGCAAGCAGGATGTATAAACCAGGGTACGCCGTCTGCATCGCCACCCGCCTGGAGATGTACCACAGATCAGCTGCAGCCAGGCTCCACTTACGACATCTACAGCAGTATCACCAGGAATATGTGTCGTCCTCCGCGTTTACCCCCCATGGAGCCATACCAACGGGCGGCCTGGGCGCTCTGCCGCGCGCAGGCGTCTCCTGTCCGCCAGGTGGGAACAGGTTCCAAGCTGTGTCACGACTGATTATCTTGTTACGGGGAAGAGGGTGCGATTCGGCGGGGCCCGCCGACTAATTCGACCTGGCTCAGTTTACTCCTCCTCCATCCATTCATAACAACCCCCCCTTGTCATTAACAGCCGGGGACCCTCCCCCCTCCTCCTCCTCCTCCTCCTCCTCCTCCTCCTCCTCCTCCTCATCCTCCTCCTCCTCCTCCTCCTCCTCCTCCTCCTCAAGCGTCTGAGAATCCTCAATCGCGCCGAGACATCCTTTGTGGGACTCCAACGCCGCGAACCCACGCGGACGTCCTGGCAATCTTAAACCGTGCCAAAACACCACTCCTGGGACGTCGGCATCGCGAATCAACGCGACGGCTACGTCGTGACAACCCTAAATCGTACCGGAACACCTCTCCTGATACCATTCCTTAAATCGTACCGAAATCGTACCGGAACACCTTAAATCGTGCCAGAACACCATTCCTGGGACGTCGGCATCGCGAATCAACGCGACGGCTACGTCGTGATAACCCTAAATCGTACTCCAGATTTCGTAATAAAGGGAGGGGGGTCTCATGTCGGAGGGGGGTCTCTTCCAGGCCATCTTGGAGGGCCTGGGGGGGTCTGGGGACGATGTTTTGGAGGGTTCTCCCACGGGGGGGGGGTCTGAAATGGCTCGTCTTGGAGGGTCCAGACCCCCTCCCTTTTATTACGAGATCTGGAGTACGTCGTGATACTCCTAAATCGTACCGGAACACCTCTCCTGATACTTCATCCATACGAACCCTGGCAAGTGCTGCAAAGTGTTGAGGCGAATGCGCGCGGCGCTGTGGCGAAAGCCGTATGTTTCAATCGGAATGCCCTCCATCCTTGAAGCTGGTACTGACTGTTGAGACGAGAGTGCGCGGAGATGCGAGAGGCAGATTTTGAAAACGGACCGCCCTCCATTCTGGAAACTGCTACAAAAATTTAAGACGAATGTGCGCGGCGCTAAAGCGAGAGCCGCATTTTGGAAACCACCCGCCCTCCATCTTTGAAACAGTTGCAAGCGTCAAGCTTCAAGCTCACAAATGGTGAGGACGTCTCAGGCGAAACGCCCGGCTCGCACGACCGACACGTCTGCGGTGCGACAGTGAGGACTTATTCATAAGGAAAAGAAATGGAGGAGGCAGAGGAGGAGCAATGCAAACCCAAGACTCATCAACGATATTGCAATAAACCTTCCCTCCAAGTTCACTTTTCATAAGTTCCTACACTGATTCACTGTCACTTCAGTGAAATGCTGAATTGAAAAACAACCGTTCGAAAATCCGGACCTGCGCCAAAACGCCATTCCTGGGACTTCAAAGCCGCGAATCACCGTAACGTTTGCGCAATTGCGATCCTGAATCGTGCCGAAACGCCATTCCTGGGACTTCATCACCGCGAATTCACGTGACTGGTGCGCCCTGACATTCCGACATCTGGATAAAGCACCATCTCTGGGACGAGAACCATGAGGATCCTCGAAACTGCTGCAAACTCTTAATTCGAAGGTGCACAGCGCTAAGGCGAGAGCCACATGCTGAAAAGTAGCCTCCCTCCACCTATCAGACTCTTGCGAACTTTCATAAAGAATGTGCGCGGCGCTGAGGCGAGAACAACATTTAGAAAAAGAACCGCCCTCCATGCACGAAGCTCTTGCAAAATTGTAAAAACAAATGCTCGCGGCGCTAGGGCGAGAGCCACATTTTGAAAACTGACCGCCCTCCATCCGGACTACACTGCAAACGTTTAAAGCGAATGCACGCGGCGTTAAGTCGAGAGCCGTCCTCCATTCGTGAAACTGTTGCAATTCTCAAGCTTCAGAATCATCACTTGTGAAGAACCTCAAGTCAGACGCCGTCCCGCACTTTCGACCGGCCTCGGCGTGCGACAGGGAGGAATTATCCATAAGGCAAGGAAATGGAGGAGGAGGAAGAGGAGGAGGAAGAGGAGGAGGGAAGAGATCAACATGGAGCCAGAGATAGAGATCGACATGGAGGTGAAGATGGAGGTGGAGGGCGTGCGGAAGGGAGGGGGGGAGGGGGGGAAGAGGGAGAGGGAGTGGGGGGAGAGGAAAGGGACGGAGGAGAGGGAGGGAGAGGGAGGGAGAACGGGGCAGGGAGGGAGGGGGAGGGAGGAGGGAGGAGGGAGGAGGAGAGAGGAGGGAGGAGGAAGGAGGGAGGGGGGCGGAGGAAGGATGAAGGAGGGAGGAGGAAGATGGGAGGAGGGTCGGAACGGAGGGAGTGAGCGAGGGCGGGAGGACGGACGGAGGAATAAGGAGGAGGGGGAGGAGGAGGAGCAACAGCAGCAGCAACAGCAGCAGCCGAGATAAGGGAGGCTCTTGTAGCCAATGTTCCAACATACACGCTGTGTCGGATTGAAGTCCATCCCGCCGTTGCCAACTTATCATGCAACGCAGTGTTGTGTGCCAGCTGTTGCACACATTGCATACGCAAAATTGTATGCCAGTGCTGTCACTGTTGTCTCACTCTCCTTCTCCTACTCCCGCGCACAGCCGGTGCGTGGTCATCCTTGCTTGCGTCCTGTCGGCTGGCGAGGCGAGACCGACGCTTCAGCTCCGTAGCCATCAGGCCCAAAGAGGGAGTTAGGTGATGACGTGAACCGTGCTTCGCAGGCACAGCTCCCAACACAGATCCGGCTGCCCTGATGGCTGGAAGCGCTCGTCTTGTCCATGATCATCTCTGCTTAAGGATCCTCATACTGTTGCGTCAGCAGCAGCAGGGAGGGTGAGGAGGAAGCTCAGTCGGAGGAGGGTGAGGAGGAAGCTGAACGGACGAGGCTATCGCGGGGCAGCCGCAGACCGAGTTCCTCAGGCCGCTGGGAGGACGATGAGGTGGAAGGAGGAAGGAGTAGACCAAGAAGGAAGGAGGAAGGAGGAAGTAAGGAGGAAGGAGGAAAGAGGAAGGAGGAAGGAGGACGATGAGGTGGAAGGAGGAAAATATAAACATCAACCTTCGGAGGCCCAGGCGAATATCTTGGGTCGGAATTGGCCCGGGGCGGCGCCAAAGGCGAAGCCTGGGGGGTCCCGCGCCGACCCCAGAAATTCGCGCGGACCCCCGAAAGTTTCTTCGAATGCGGCTTTTCACTTTCGACTCTGGCAGCCCAGAGAGGGCCCCGAGCGTCCGAAAGCACAAGGGCGGGGTACAGCGGGTGTCTCTGGGCGCTGGAGGCGTAGGGGAGTGTCAAGGAGAGCGCCTGGCGGCAAGGTCGAAACCAGCTGCATGCAGCAAATTTCGTAACCCACGTTCCCAGTCTCCCCCCTCGTCCGGCCCGACCCTTGCCCCCTAGTCCTGGGCACTCCCGAGAACAGAGGGCTCAGCCAGCCAGTCGTGCTCAACCATCTGCCTCGCGGTCTCTGGCCGCAGGATGCGCGGGCCTGTCGCAAGAGGAAGCATCCTCATCGACCGCCGCACTCTTCTTCATCCTCTTGCTCCTCCTCCTCCTCCTCCGCCTCCTCCTCCTCCTCCTCCTCCTCCTCCTCCCTCCTCCTCCTCCTCCTCCTCCTCCTCCTCCTCCTCCTCCTCCTCCCCCTCCTCCTCCTCCTCCTCCTCCTCCTCCTCCTCCTCCTCCTCCTCCACTCCCCCGATCACCCTACCCCCACCGCCTCGTCCTCCCAACACTCCTCCCCCCTTCCTCCTCCCTTCTTCCCCTTCTCCCTCCTCCTTCTCCCTCCTCCTCCTCCCCTCCTCCTCCTCTCCTCCTCCTCCTCCTCCTCCTCCTTCTACCTCCTCCTCCTCCTCCTCCTCCTCCTCCTCCTCCTCCTCCTCCTCCTCCTACCTCCTCCTCCTCCTCCTCCTCCGCCCTCCTCCTCCTCCTCTCCTCCTCCTCCTCCTCCTCCTCCTCCTCCTCCTCCCCTCCTCCTCCTCCTCCTCCTCTCTCCTCCTCCTCCTCCTCCTCCTCCTGCTCCTACCTCCTCCTCCTCTCCTCCTCCTCCTCCTCCTCCTCCTCCTCCTCCTCCTCCTCCTCCTCCTCCTCCTCCTCCTCCTCCACTCCACCCCCGATCACCCTGACCCCACCGCCTCGTCCTCCCAACACTCATCCCCCCTTCCTCCTCCCTTCTTCCCCTTCTCCCCTCCTCCTTCTACTCTCCTCCACCTCCTCCTCCTCCTCCTCCTCCTCTCATCATCATCATCATCATCACATCATCATCATCATCATCATCATCATCATCATCATCATCATCATCATCAGCAGCAGCAGCAGCAGCATCAGCATCAGCATCAGCATCATCATCATCATCATCATCATCATCATCATCATCATCAGCAGCAGCAGCAGCAGCAGCATCATCAGCATCATCATCATCATCCTTCTCCTCTTCCTCCTCCTCCTCCTCAGTGCAGTGTCGGTGTCAGTATGGCCTTCGCTCGGGGCTGGACGGGGCGTCGTCCGCGTCGAGGTGGACTGCAGGGCGAAGTGAAGGAGGAGGGAGCAGGGAGGGAGGGGGGAGGCGGGACTAAGAAGAGGAGAAAAGGAGAGAAGGAGGACAAGGAGGATCGCCGTTTTCCGGCCCCAGCCCCGTAAAATTACCCGTTTTCAGACGCTACCCTTTTTGTTCATTAGGGACACCAGCGATGGGCTCCAGAAAGACGATTCGGGCGTTTGATGGTACATGTGCAGCGTCAAAATGTTCGGCTCAGCATGTTCTCCCATGTGCATGTGCACTAAACGCAACAGTACCTCCCCACAGTGTCGCGCTGGCCTTTCCTCTGCAGCCCGCGAACAGCTCGATGGAACGTCTAAGCGCGAAGCAAGGCACGAGTCCAAGACGCATCGAGGGGTACGACCCACACACACACACACACACACACACACACACACACACACACACACATCGGCATCAGGACGCAGGCCGGGAGGGGGAGGCCTTTTTGACTCCAGTCAGGCTCTGCGCGATCTTACCCGACTCCATAGGTGAGCGAAGGCGGCCTCGCCGCTAAAAGCAGCCCTGGGAACGGATCAGAAAAGCTGCGCTTGGCTGCCAGGAAGGAGGGGAGTTGATGGGGAAAAGAAGGGGCAGCCCAAGTGTCGGCCAGAGCGGCGGGGAGCAGAGCTGGGCGAGGGAGAGAGAAGGCAGGACGCAGCAGAGGGCAGGAGGCAGGATGGACGGCGGGATTGGACAGGTGCTGGACTTGTGTGTTGCGCGTGTCCCCCTGTCCTGCAGAATCCTTGCCGCGCTTCACTTCTCTGACATCGTTTGATCCGCCGCAGCGCGGTTCAGGGATAACGAGGGCGCAAGTCAGCGTGCGCGGCACCAAGTCCGCGACCCCGAAAGCCGCCGAAGGTGCACGTGAGGGCGGGAAGGGAGTGCAGGGTCTCCTCGGCTCCCCGTCTCTCCCCCTCGTCCTCTTCGCTCTCATCTCACTGGTCACCTTACAGCGGAGGCCAGCCCACAAGAAACCTTCCGCAAGGAACCCAACCCTGAGATCCCAGGACGTCCATCGACTTTTGGTGTGGGAACGTCACGCTCTCCATCGCTAAACACCCTCGAAACCCACGAAACCCAGGGCACCCTGGAGGCAAGCAGGGTGCTTGTTGGCATGGGCCCCCACTGTACTACCAGCAGAGAGGAGGGCCCCATGAGGAGAGGGGGGGGGAGGAGCGACAGAGCAGTGTGCTCAGGGGCGCGCTGGCCCCCTCTGCGAAGCGTCCCTCCCCGCCGCGCCTTCGGGACTGAGCTGGCCTCCACGAGCGACCATGAGGAAAAAGCGAGCCTCCAGTGGCAATAGAAACGGGACAGAAAAGGGAGGAGGAGGAGGACGACGAGGAAGACGAGGAGGAGCAGCAGGAGGAGCAGGAGGAGCAGGTGGAGGAGGCGGGAAAGGTTCACTTACCACGGAGGGGGCTAAGGGAGGGAGAACGAGAGGGACAGAGAAGGCTGCGGGGTGGCGTTCGAAGGGCGACAGATTGCACCCTTGTAGGAGGGGGGGGGAGGGGGGCGAAGATAGAGGGGAAGGTCGAGGAGTAGAATGATGAGAAGAAATGGAGAAGGTGGTGGCGGTAAGGAGGAGGGACGAGGAGAGGGGAGCGGTGATCGGTGACACACTGAGTGGAAAGCGGGGTGCGAGAGCAGCACCTGTCCAGACGGAGAGACAACTGGACTCAGAAGCAGAGAGAGAGAGAGAGACGGAGACACGCAGGTGCAGAGGCAGGAAGGCAGAGGCTGAGAGACTAAGAGATCGTGGGCCAGAGACCGGGACAGATACCGCAGCGACGGGGACAGGTCTGGGGACGGAGGCGGAGACGACGCCGCAAGCGGGTGCAGGCGGGGGCGCAGACGGAGGCAGGCAGGGCGAGACTGACCGACCACCTGAGGATGATTCGGCACGAATCCCACCTCGAGCCAAAAACACCCACCCGCCCCCGCTGCAAAAAGCATAGCACCTCCTCGTGGCCCTCCCTCCTCCTTCTTCACCCCCCTCCACCTCCTCCCTTCCGGAAGTATCCAGTTTGGCTCGAGCCACATCCGGGTCCCGCCCCACCGCCGTGACCCAGACGATGGCGCGCGCGACCCTGGCGCGCGCGGACGGCCGCTCGCCTGTCCGCTCGATGGGATGAGGCGGCAGGCTGGGCATCGCGATGCACCACGGCATGGCCGTCGCGACAGGGGCGACAACGGCGAATACAACAAAGCTCACGCTGAAGCTACGGGAGGGCTGCCCGGTGCGCTTGGCGGCGGTCGAGGGCATGCACACTGGTGGATCGCTGGCGTCCGAGGAGACCCTGGTACCCTGGGCTGCGGCGGACATCGTGGCGGCGGTGGGTGGCGCTGCGCTTGCCAAAGGTCTGCAGAAGCAGCGGGCGGTGGGGAAGCACGCACCTTCGCACGCGGTGCGGCGGTGGCGCGCCGTCGACGAGGCGGCATCGCTGTTGCGGCACCCCAGGACGTGCGGGCTGACGGTCGCTGATGCGCCGAGCTGGACATGGCAGGGAGATGGTGGCAGCAGAGCTGCGGCGTTCAGCCTCGAGGAAGACGACGCCACGACGCAGCACCAGGGCAGCGAGGAGACACAAAAGCTGGGCAGCGAGCGCCACCCCGTGACCAGAGTGCATGGACTGCAGCGCGAAGGAGTACGACATCGACGACGAGGACAAGTTGGTGGGCACGCAGGGCGTGGGCGAGAAGCCGAACAAGCAAAAGCTCAACGACTGGGAGTGCCACAAGCAGAACGCGTTCCTCGGGGAGTCGACGCCTTCAAGGCGATGCTTTACGGGGTCTGGGCAGACATCATGCAGCTCACGCCGTGGTTTGCATGCGTCGCGAACATCAACACGGTGCCAAAGATTGTTGCCCAGGATATCGTCACGCACAGGGCCGATGAGACCGTGGAGGCAAAGAAGAACATGGCCGAGGCGAATCCCTGGATCGGGACCAACATCGTTGCTGAGGATGAGGCGGCGGCGAAGAAGTACACGGCCGATGCGAAGCCCCAGGCAGAGAAAGACACGGCCGATACCAAGCCCACCATCGAGACCGACGCCGCTGCTCAGGATGAGACGGCCGCGGAGATGGAGGCAGAGTGCACGAAGGACACGGCCAGTGCGACGCTACAGGTCGAGAGCACGACCACTTCTCAGGATGAGGCAGCGACGATGGCACTCAAGGCGAGAGTCCAGCAGCTCCTTGAGGCAGCCAAGCGGGACGAGAGAATCGACATCTCGGACGCGGAAACCGTCGGGGGGTCGTGGGTTGGTCAGTCTCCCGCGTGGTGGTGGAAAGGACCCAGGCCTGAAGCCCCCCGCGGTGTGAGGAGCATCGATCTTTGGCGCACCGCGCCCCTCTCTACGAAACCTCCCCCCCTCCCCTCCTCCTCCTCCCCTTCCTCCTCCTCTGCCTCCTCCCCCTCCTCCTCCCCCCTCCTCCCCCTCTTCCTTCCAAATAACTCCGCCCTGTCGCACCCCCAGACGTGTTGGGGCCTCAGGGCGGGTTGGGCGTTTCGCGTGAGACTTCCTCACCATGCATGATCCTGAAGCTTGGAATGTGCAACAATTTCGAAGATGGAGGACGGCACGCCTTCGGCGAACATTCACTCTTGAAAGTTTAAACAAGTTTGATGAACTTAGGGTATTTTCAAGATGTGGTTTTCGCCTTAGCGCCGCGCACATTCGCCTTCACAAGTTGCAACAGTTTCACGGGTGGAGGGCGGTTCCTGTTCAAAATGTGACATTCGCCTGAGCGCCGCGCACGTTCGTCTTAAAAGTCTTCACCAGTTTCAAGAATTCGTATGGCTGAAGTCCCAGGAACGTTGTTTTGGCATGACTAATGCTTGCCAGGACGCACCGGTCACGTTAATTCACGGCCTTGAAGTCCCAGGAATGGCGTTTTGGCGCGATTGTTCTCAGACCGTTGTCTTCCAATAGGGCACTTCTTGGACAGAGGGTTTATCTTAACATCGTTGATGCGTGTTGGGATTACACTGGTCCTCGTCCTCCTCCTCATCCTCCTTCTCCTTGTCTTCATCGTTCCTCTCCCACTCTTTTCTTCCCCCCCCTTCATCCCTCTTCCTCATCATCCTCCTCCTCCCCTCATTACCCCTCCTCCTCATCCTGCTTCTCCGCGTCGAAAGCTGCGGCCCCTTGTCAGGCCATGCCCAGTGGCGCAAGTGAGCGCCGAATGCTGGCCTGATCGTTCAGAGTACTCACCAGGCCACCGCCGTTGTGGCCCATCATCCCGCCCCCAGCGATCACCGGGCCCACGTTCGGCTTCGCCCACCTGAGGAGGGACAGCAGAACCAGCGGGACAGCGGGCGATCGAAAACAGGGCACCTCGCTGAAGGCTGGATGTATCCTGCAATTGCTACTGTTCCTGATGCTGTGTCTGCCAATCCTTCTGAGTCAATCCTTCTGAACCTTCCACATTGTATCGTCATTCCTATGATCCTCCCTCTGTATCCTCCTCCTCGGCATCATCAGCAGCTACATTATACTTACCATCACCAACACCACCACCTCCATTGTCAACGCCATAATCATCAGTCGCACCATCAGCATCGCAAACCGTCATCAGATTCAACCAAACTATCAACCACACAGTATCATCACCCGTGTCAACAGTAGTAGAACGCTTAGCGTCATCATCATCACCATCACCACCACCACCACCACCACCGTCATCATCATCATGATCATAAGCATAATCATCATCATCATCATCATCATCAGCAGCAGCATCATCAGCATCATCATGATCACCATCATCGTCGTCATCATCGTCATCATCATCATAAGCATCATCAGCATCCGCATCAGCATCCGCATCAGCATCAGCATCAGCATCAGCATCAGCGTCAGCAGCATCACCATCATCACCATCACCATCATCATCGGCAGCATCATCAGCATGAGAATCATAATCAACATCAGCAGCATCATCGTCAGCAGCAGAATCAACATCAGCATCAGCACCATTGTCATCATCATCAACAGCATCATCATCAGCAGCCATCATCATCATCAGCAGCATCAGCAGCGCATCATCAACATAAGCAGCAGCAGCAGCAGAAGTAGCATCATCATCTTCAACAGCAGCACCATTAACTGCATCATCATCAGCAGCAGCATCATCAGCATCAGCATCATCACCACCACCACCATCAGAAGCAGCATCAGCAGCATCCGCATCAGCATCAGCATCATGGTCATGATCGTCGTCATCAGCATCATCATCAGCATCATCATCAGCATCATCAGCATCATCATCGTCATCATCATCAGAATCAGCATCATCAGCATCATCATCAGCAGCATCAGCATCATCAGAATCGTCATCGTCGTCAGGAGCAGCAGCAGCAGCAGCAGGCAGCAGAAGCAGCGTGGTCATCCCTCTCGTCCCCCGGGTCACCCCCTACTTACCTCCTTGTCCACCTCACCGTCCTCATCCTGCGCCGCCTCAGTCCTCCCAAATCTGCCTCAACCCTCATCCGTCTCATCCTCCTGCTACCCCGCCTTCTGCTACCCCGATTCCTCCCTCCTCCCTCCCCTCCTCTTCCTCCCTCATCCCTCCTCATGTTCATGATGTTCCCCCTCGTCCTCCTCCACCTCCTCACTCCTCCTCATCCTCCTCCTCATCCTCCTCCTCCTCATCATCATCATCATCATCATCAGCAGCATCATAATCATCAGCAGCATCATCGTCATCATTTGCATCATATCATCATCAGCATCAGCATCATCATCATCATCATCATCATCATCATCATCATCATCATCATCATCATCATCATCATCATCATCATCATCATCATCATCATCATCATTATTATCATCATCATCATCATCATCATCATCAGCATCATCATCATCATCATCAGCATCATCATCACCACCACCACCACCATCATCATCATCAGCATCATCATCATCAGAATCATCATCATCATCATCACCATCATCATCATCATCATCAGCATCATCATCATAAGCATGATCATCATCAGCATCATCATAATCAGTATCATCGACATCATCATCGTCATCATCACCATCAGCAGCATAATCATCATCATCATCATCATCATCATCAGCATCATCAGCATCGTCATCATCATACTCATAATCATAAGTATCGTCAGCATCATCATCAGCAGCATCATCATCAGCAGCAGAAGCAGCATCATCATGATCAGCATCATCATCAGCAGCAATAGCCTCATCAGCATCATCATCAACGGCGGCAGCGACATGATCATCATCATCTGCATCATCAGCATCATCATCATCATCATCAGTATCATCAGCAGCATCGTCATCATCATCATGAGTACCATCGTCAGCAGCATCATGGTGATCATCATCATCATCATCAGCAGCATCATCATCAGCGTCATAATCATCAGCAGCATAATCGTCATCATCTGCATAATATCAGCATCATCATCATAATCAGCATCAGCATCATCATGAACATCATCATCAGCAGCATCATCATAATCAGTATCATCGGCATCATCGCTATCAGCAGCATCAGCATCATCATCATCAGCAGCATCATCATCGTCATCATCATAATCATAATCATCAGCCTCGTCAGCATCATCATCAGCAGCATCATCATCAGCAGCAGAAGCAGCATCATCATGATCAGCATCATCATCAGCAGCAATAGCCTCATCAGCATCATCATCCACGGAAGCAGCGACATGATCATCATCATCAGCATCATCAGCATCATCATCAGTATCATCAGCATCATCGTCATCCTCATCATGTTTAACATCGTCAGCAGCATCATGGTCATCATCATCAGCATCATCATGAGCATCAGCATCGTCATCATCATCGTCATCGGCATCGTCATCGGCATCAGCTTCATCATCATCAGCAGCATCAGCATCATCATCATCAGCATCATCAGCCCCGTCCTGCATGCCCTCCAAATCCTCCTGGTGATCATCATCCTCTGTTTCCCTCCTCTCCTCTCCTCTTCTCTCCTCTCTTCCTCATCTTCCTCCTCCGCCTCCTTCTCATCCTCATCCTCCTCCTCCGCCTCATTCTCCCTCGCCTCATCCTCCTCTTCCCTCTCCTCTTGATCGCCTGCTCTCGCTCGGCGTCTGCCCGTCAAGCCGCACCAGCTCCGAGGGGATCTTCGGCGCTGGCCTGGGTGCAGAGCTACCCGTCCCCATCTGTGCTCTCCTTATTCGATCCCACCCCCACCTCACCCTCATCTGCTTCCCACCCTCCTCATTCCTCCTCCCCTCCCATCTCACTACCCAGTCTCCTTCTCATCATCCTCCTCCTCCACCTCCTCATCCTCCCACATTATCCGCATCATCATCCTTCATTTGCTCCCTCCCCCCTCATCCATCCTCATCTGCATGATACTCCTCCTCCTCCTCCTCATCTTCATCATCCGCCTCCTTTTCATCATCATCCTCTTCCTCCTCCTCATCCGCCTCCTCCTCCTCCTCCTCCTCAGTCTCCTACTGCTCCTCCGCCACGTCCACCTCATCATCATCCTCTTCCTCCTCCTCCACTTCTTTCGTTTATTATCCTTATGATTATTGGCATGATGCTTATTCTTATTAGTATTCCTCCCCCTCCTCGTCGTCCTCCTCCTCCTCCTCTTCTTCCTCCTCCTCCTCCTCCTCCGCCTCCTCCTCATCCTCCTCCTCCTACTCCTCCGCCTCCTCCTCCTCCGCCTCCGCCTCCTCCTCCTCCTCCGCCGCCGCCTCCGTAGTGCCTACCGTTAGCCCTGGCGAATCACATGCTTCGGCTCGGTAAAGAAAGAGCCTGTGTCTGCCCAGGGGACAGTGGCGGGCTGCTGCCACGCTAGCACCACTATGCAGGCCATCATGCTTAGACCGTTGCAGAAAAATCGCCGTCAGCTTCAGCTTGGTATCCCTCGGGGGCTCATGGACGATGTGTCCTTCCAGTGTGTAGGCGAGAATGCGAAAGAAGCTGGCATCGTTTTTGATGCTGTGGCGGCTCCTGTCCAGGACACTCGGGGCATAGGCTTTCGACTCCAGCCGTCCAAGTCGGGGCAGCTTGCCTCGAGTCGTGAAGCTGCGCGGGCGGGAAAGGCGAAGGCTAAGGTTTCCAGGCTGTCGGCCTTCAGGATCGCCAGGAAATTAGGGCATGATTCCTTCGCGGGTGGCACCGCTCATAGGCCCCAGGAAAGAAAGCGTTTAACGTCGGTCCTGGGACCCCGCGGCAGGTTGAGGGCCCTCAAGAGGTCTGGTGGTTTGAAGGCTCGGGCCCTGTGGAGAACGGGTGCCATGCCGTCAAAACGTCATGGAACTGGAGTGGACGGCCTCACAGACACCACTCTGATGAGGTTGCGTTCTCTTGCGGGTGAGCCTGTGGGGGCCCGGGAAGGGGTCACTTCTTCAGCAGCGGCATAAACGTGCTCGCAAAAAGACGGGATGCACGGCCCTACCGTGGACTCCACCTGCCCCCTGGCCTTAGGTCGGGCATGTCCCCCTACAGGCGGATCTGGGACGAAAAAAATCAAAACGGTCCAAAAATGTGGCCGAAAAGTCACCGAAAAATCGTCCCCCGAATTTTTGAATATTCCTTCTGTAGAGGGACAGGCCCGACTTCACCCTGGCCGCGCGCCACGCAGCGCGGCTTTGGGACGGCAGGACGTCGGCGTCTCGGCTGCGTGCTGCGTGGCAGACCATCCACGACCGCATCGGTCAGAAGGGCAGCGGGAGACTGTGCCCTGGTCCCGTCTCGGCTGTCACCCGCAAGCTCAGGCGCACCGGGTGGGACAGGACCGCCCCGCATCTTTGAACATCTGACCGGTGTGATAGCATGTTCGTTGCGGGAGTGCTCCCCTGACTGCGGGGCCGCCTTCGCCTCCATCGAAGAGAATAAGCAGGCGGGGCAACTCCTCCCTGCCGACGTGTAGGAGCCGAGGCAGAGCTTACAAGATAAGGGGAGCTGTTCTCTCGGGGCCTCAGAGTGGGATGCGGTTTCTCTCCTCTACGCGTTGCCTCGTACTCCCGTGAGGCTGCCGCCGGCGCTCGCCGAACCCCCAAATCCTGGAGTGGGGCCTCTCTCGGGGTCCTTGGGACCCTGGTGCTTTTCACCGACTGTACAGTCAACCCGTAAAATAAGGAAGCACGATAAGGATACCAAGGGCCCTGGAAAGCCATATCGACACTTTGCGAGCGGGACGCGGCCACCGAAAGCGGCCAAGGATGAGCGAAAGGAAAAGGGTGCAAGGGTAATCCTTATGATGCGGGTTGGTTCGCGGGGTCAACTCCCGAGGCTTCCAGATGCGGCTGGACGGTAGTTGAAATCACGGCGGATGGCTGGCCCCTTCAATCGAGATTCAGAGGGCTGCCTGGCCGTTTCCAGAATGTTCCCAGAGGAGAGCGCTGGGCGGGACTCGAGGCCATGCGAGTTGGTCCGCCCTGTCTGACCATTGATAATGATAATCTCAATTTTTTCGGGAGGCCCAGACCTGGAAATCACAGCTCGAGTGCGGCATTGCGCGTCACGCTTCGATCTGGCGCAAGATATTTCGGCCGGTGGCCGCAGCGCGTGTGGACCCCAGCGCACAGATCGCGGGATGCTCTGGTGGACTCTGGTGGGGTGCTCGTTCTGCACCGACTCATAGGCAATGCCTAGGCAAATTGGCTCATCAAGCTGGGGGCCAAAGATGTGGCTGTTGCACAAATCCCACCAGCCCTTTGGGCGTGAGTGGTTTAGCGAGCTCTCTCTGTTCTCAACCCCCCTTCTTCCCCTTCGGGGAGGGGTTTACCCCTCCCCCTACCCCCTCCCCCTGGACCTGGAGAGGGGGTTTCGCGGGTCGTTGGAGGGGTCTTTTTCGACTCCTGGGAGGGCTAAAATTTGACACCCCTCACGAGGATTCTGGCCCCGACGGGGGGGGAGGAGAAAAGTGCT